CCTTGTGAAATTATTGTGACTATTAAATTAAGAGATTGATCATAGATTCTCAAGATGTAAGTGCTTAGTCAAATGATATGAATATCTTCAAGAGATGGGATAAAATTGCTCTATTACCTTCTAGAAAGTTTGAGCAATTTATATGCTTGCCAGTAGTATAAAGCAATATCCATTTTCTTGGAAACTTGATAACATTAACAATTATTTTTTGTCAACCTGACTGACAAATAAATTTTTCAGTGTCATTCTAATTTGCATTTCTGATCATGTGGATCTTCAAGGAATGTTTATCTATGTGGGTGATGTGGTACTGCTGGCCAAGGAAAGAGAAGATTGATGAGTGAACAAAAATATCTGGAATGAAGAATGGCAGAATTATAAAATATGCAGCTGATGGAGAGAGACAGGGTTTTGGAAAAATGACACTTTATAAGTATATAAACTGGCCCTCCAGAGACACCTGCTCTCATAATTGCAGACAACCTTATACATTGGATTGTCTGGGAATTTGAGGCAGACAAAATTCAATGCTTTAAGTTGGAGAACATGTGGTCAGATGAGCCTGCTTTTCACAGGCTGGATAATCACCTCCACATGCCTCCAGGCCTGGTCCTGCTCCCTGTGGTGTGTGGGCGGGTGGGTGGAGTGATCAAGTTCCAACACCCTGCATCTGAGACTCTGCATTTCACTCCATTGGTGGAAGGATGGAGTACTGGGCAAAGACTGCCTGCCATTAGCTGCTGATGAAGTTCCTCTGATAGTGTAGTGATCAATTCTCAGACGACCCCCCCTCCCCAGAGGGGTTCTCCTTTCTGAGCTTTACCACTTCTCAGAACTTCCAAGGCTGTTCTTTCCATTCCTTCTGGAAGGAAGCCCTTGATGTTTCCACTGCTAGGGTCTTTTTCAGGCTCCCAGAATATTCCAGTAAGCACCCGCTGGTTGGCAGAGGAAGCCAAAGATTCCATTAGAATGTTGAATTACCCCTCCCTTGCTTTTTTTATTGCACTCAAGAAAAAAAAAATCTTGGGTACCATTCCCCCCAAGGTTTTCCTCAGATCATACAGCCTCTTGGGTCATTGACCTTGCTTTTCACATATTTCTATCCTGACACCATCTTGCTCACCTCCAACAGGCAATTTAGCCTTATTTTTCGATTTTACCTCCTAATCTATCTCAAGTCTACTCACCTCTGATCATGTGCAGCACAATCACTCACATTCTAGCTACTATCATTGCTCCCCAGGACTCTTGAAATTTTTAGTCTCCATGCTTCCATTCTTGTTCCTCTTCAATTCATTCTCCCCATCAAGCCTGGGAGATCTTCATAGAATTTCCCATTGCTTTTATCAATGTCCCAAACTCTAACATGACCTTTATGGCCCAGGTTCCTGTGCATGTTTTCAGTTTTGTCATATCCCCTGGCTCCCTGGGCCTCTTCCACCATGACCACAGACATTTTTTGATTTTTCGGTCCACCCAGGTTCCATTCTGCCTTCAGGCCTCTGCACATGTATTTCCCTCCATGTGGACCCACACCCCACTGTATTCTGAATCTTTCAACTCTCCACCCAAAAGTCACTTTCTCACAGATGTGCATCCTCACTGCCCCAACCAGATCATATTCCACATACATTCTTAGTTCTCCACATAATTTTTCCTTCTTGATGGTGTTCACAATTCGTAAATCCGTATCTGTGCAATCATTTGTATCTGTAGCCAAATAGATTATAAAATGCATAGGGGAAGAGACCAGGGTTTTCTTACTATTTATTTATGGCACACCTTTGGTAGATAATATATAAACAGTAAATTACTTATTAAAATAATGAATAAAGAAATGATTTAACAAGACCAATTAGCTTTCTCAAAACTTTTTCCTCAGAAATAAAACATACCCATCAGTAAATACTTCTTCCTGGTTTTGCCTGTTTCTACCTTAGATAAAGGGATCAAGGAAGCCATTTATCTTTGGAATACCACAAATAGGGAGAACAACATCAGAGGTTTTACCCTCTTATGCCAGTGTCATAGGTTATTTTGGTGATTGATGGCAGGCTAGTAGTGAAATAATGTAGTGAATGTCTAATTAACTTACCTGACCCCAACACTTCCTACTTTTGACCTTACTCATTAGTCTTTGCTGCAAGTTAATCCAGAGAATCCTTCAGCATTATAGGAGCATGATCTTTCTGCTGCATCTAAACATTTGGTCATTAAAAAGGTGCTTCTTGAAAATTTACATATGTAGTGCAAGAACTATGGGCTTTACTTCTATTCCCTCTGGAAGAGAATCCTTTTTACCATCTATCTAAATTTTACTTAAACTTCTAGCCAAAGTCCCAGAGGAATAATTGTCCCATGAATTGAATAACTACTATGTGCCAAACATTGCACATTGTGTATGTTTTTTCATTTCATCCTTAGGACAGGGTAGGGCAAAAAAAATACCTCCCATTTAAAAAAAAAAAAGTAAGCAAGAGAACTAAAGTTTAGAAATATTGAATTACTCATTCATCACAGCTAGGTTCAAACATAGGTCTGCCTGACTCTGAAAAGTCATACTGTGCTCTACTATCTCCATTTACTGCAGGATACATTTTCCAGTCATTGCCTTTCTTACTGAGCCTCTCCTCCTCCGAATTGCCATAGTTTCTTCTAGTTGTAATACCCTACTCTAGATCTTATTGTGTTCTGTGCTTATTTGTTGGGGATCTATGTGGATTCCCCTGATTTTCCCAATTGTCATTATGTAGCAGGACATAATGGCTGCCATTTCTGCCCCTCCTACATGGGGCCTGAATTGGATAGCAGAATGTATTTTGCAGTTGTTTATACTCTCATTGCATGGACTAGTGGGGAAAAAAGAACCAGGAATTCATCAAAGGAGCTTCCTACAATACAGGGGAAGAGTGAGTCAACCCAGACTTGGAAGTGTTTTTGGTGCTCTTATTTAGGTTCATGCATGTTCCAAGCAACTAAGTAATCATAAATGGAGGTATTGCTTCCTCAGAAAAGCAACACAGACCCCTTTGAAAACAAATTATACACATCTATCAATGGGATGACATTTTGCAAAACAGAAAAGCATATGCTGTTATGGTGCTGAGTGTTAAAATAACGAACCACAGCCCAGTGCCACCTCCCAAGCATTTTTAAATCGAACAGTTTCATTCTGTTTTAGAATAAAACCCTTGCTTTAATATTATAAGGTACACTGCAGGTATGCCATGCTGCCAGTTACTATTGGGACAACAAATACCCTAGTCAGTGACCCAGAGAACTGGGAAAATACATGAACTCATACTTTCAGAACACATAGAAATGCCATTTACAGTTTTTCTTCTTCAAATTGGCCTGGGATATCTCAGTCTACACAGATTTTTCTACAACACTCACTTTGATGCTTGAATGCCTCAGAAATACATTCACCATCATGATTTGTGCATTTTCCAAAAGGTTTTGTTGTTAACATACAAGCAAATAGTATTAAACATTATCTAAATTATGACTGCCAAGTACTGGATCTTAATAATGAAACCAAATTACAAAGCATTTCTTTTAGAGCTATACAAAATATATAAAATTAAATACATCAACCATATCTAAATTTTCCAATTCTCCTATAATACAATTTTCAACATATGTATCACTACTGAATATTTTAAGGAGAAAGTTAGCAAAAATAAAAACATAAAAATGTTTAAATCTTTGAAACTCTTTATTCTCTGGCTTTCATAATAACCCCTAAATGGCCAGATTGTTTTCCTATATAGTTCAAAATATCAAAAAGATTTATTAGTAATTTATAATTGGGGATGAACTCTAAAATGTCATTTGTAGGTAACAGGCCCAAGGACCAGTGTTCATCATGTGTTGCAGATCATCTAAATAATCTTGAACACTTTCAATCCTCCCAAAATATAATAGAATGAGTCAATGTTATCACAACAAAATTCTAGGCATATTAGGAAAAAAATGGTTAGCACCTGGGGTGAAGGATTATTTCTTTGAAACTACAGCTAAGCACATTCTTACCTATGATTGCTTGCATTCATATACTGAAAATACCTATTATTTGGAGAAATCCTGTGATATGCCATTGGCTACAAAATGAAATTCTTACACTGAGCATAAATAGTTTGTTCTTTTTAGATAATGAAAATATGTATCAAATCTTCATTTATGTTCCAAAATTAAATAAGAAATTAAAAAAAATCTTTAGCTTGGAAAAGTAAGAAGAAAAAAAGACCCATTTGTTAACTCTACTCCTGAGCACATCAACTTCTCCCAAGACACACATTTGCTGACTTTAAATATTTATTCTTTAAATTAAAAGTTAGTTGTTTTGTTATACAGCTATACAAAGTTCATAATGTTTCTTTCACAATGGAATATAATGGAATTTTACAACTATATAAAAAGTTAACATTGGCCTAAGAAACAGTATTTACTGTGTATATACAGTTGACAAATTTTCTACCATCCAGCACTCTAATTGACAAAATAATCTACCTCATATTACAGGATTTCTGAAAAGAAAGATAAACACACACACACACACAGACACATACACACATATAAAACCTTCTATGGCTGAAAACACAGTATCATTGCCCTATCTGCAGATAACCTGCAGAAATTGCCAAATACAATTTAGTGATAAGAAAAATCCTTTCAATGATGAAAAAATACTTATAAGTTCCATCAAAGTACTGCTTTAGTTTAACTATATATAAGAACCTTCATAAGAATCTTCTTATATATAGGCTTCTAGTACTCCAAATGCATTTACTATTCCTTTTTTAAAATGAGTCTTCCTCACCACAAAAGTAACTGCACTGTATCTTTGAAATTACACAGAAAAATTAAAAAATGAAAAAAACCAGTGCAAGTGACAAATATACAGAAAATTCACTTTTTCATTCTTCGTAAGTACTGACACCAATTTTCAGAACCATGAAGGGATAGAAATTCACCTATTTTCAAAGACTTGTTGTAGACTATGCAGCAATTTTGTTGTTTTTCCTATATTCAAAATCTGCAAACTCCCTGCCACAATGCCCTCTTCGGAATCCGCCGTGAAAACCCCAGTGAAATCCTCGAGGGGTAGTAAATGTGCCACCTCTGCCACCACTAGGCCTTCTGTTACCACGGAAACTCAGACCTCTTCTGCTTCTGTACCTCCCACCACCATGGTTTGGATGAAGTGGAATTCCAAATGTTTCAGCATTTAATCTTCTTTCTTCAGCCCAGGTTGGCCTCTGTTCCCTATTAACATTACAAGAAATATTGTCAAAGAAGGATTTACTTTTGTCGTAATAGCAGTTAGGTCCAAGTGGATCTTCTTCATCAGTGTCTTCTTCACTGTTTTGGGTATCAACCCCTTTACCTTCACCATTTACTGGCTTCTCTTTTTTCTGAAGTTTATCTTCTTTTAATTTAAGTTTATTATGAAACTCTCTGTCAATCTCCTCCTTGTTAAATTGTGCATTTGCACTTTCAAAGTCAAAGTCATTCTCAAATTTCATTGGACCATATCGCTGAATACCAAATCTCCTGCCACATCGATGACCCCCACGCCCTTTTCTTGGAGCTGACGAAGCACCTGGAACTACTTGTCTCTTGCTATGATTTCTGAGTTGCTCCTTTTCTGACCTTGAAACTTTGGGTACTCCAGCTTGCTTGTGCTCTTGATTCTCTATTGTTTTTTGTCCAGTAGATGGCAAAGGCAGGGTTGGTACAGGGCTCCTTCTCCCAACAGGTGCTGGAGCAGGTAAGTGGGCCGAGGCAGTTTGTACTGCTTGTTCCATGGTTGGACTTTCTCTCAAAGGGTCTAACTCAGGGCTTGAACGACCTTGAAATGACTGCGTTTTTATAGTTCTTGTATCCTGTATAAAGGCAGAACCAATTGCACTACTTTGGGATAAGGTATCACTGTTTGATGTCTCCATTCCAAAGGATGGCAAGGAGCTTCCAGCAACAGCACCAGCACCAAACTGCTGCCCGACGAATGAACTTAGACTGAACTGACTGTACGTTGGCATGCTGCCAAAAGGTCCGTAGGAACCCACTGACTGGAACGAAGATGAACCTAGCGAAGACTGAATGATAGCTGAGTCCTGAGGCAAAGAACATTGTGGTTTGGGAGGCTCGCAAACGGTCAGATCTTTAATATCATTCCCACGGAAGATAATATATTCAAAGACTTCATCTCGAGGTGGTATGGGCCGATCTGTTGGTCTGTCTTCTGTACCAAAGGATCGAACTTTGGCGAGGGCTATAGTGGAGTTCTCGGTGTCGATGGTGTAGAGGATGCCCTCATATCGGATCTCCGCTTTAGAGATGAGGCTAATGTTGCTGCCGAGGTAAGGGGTGCCCCAGCTCATGATGCCCCTGCCCCTCCCAGCAGAGGCAGATACCGCTCGGCACGGCCCCGGGCTACAGCGGCTGCCTTAGATCCAACATGGCGGCGGCAGCTCTGCCACCCTCCCCCAACCTCCGGGCCTCAAACCGCAGGGCATGCTGGGCAGGCCAGGCTGTGCTCTCGCGAGAGTCCCCGAGCACTTGGCTTGTTTCCTTAATTACAAGGGGCTCTAACTCATTTCCTTGCTCAATTGTGAGCCTCCCAGTTTAATTGTGTCCACAGAGTCATAGTGAGGAGGTTATTTAGCCTGTATTTACATTATCCATACACCTTCACATTGTCTTCCGAACTGCTTTTCCCTACTTGTTGGATTTTGTGCTTTTAATTGCATGTTCCCCTGCCAAAGTACTTTTTCTTCGTATTCAAACCAAACTTCTGTTTTAGCTGCTGCTCATGACGTCTCCCTCTCCCAAGTCCTCGGGGTTCCAATAATCAGGGAAATTACTTTCACTTCCAGGCATTTTGAATGAGACTCCTCTGAGTCCATTTTCAGAAAAGTAGGCCACAGTCATCAAGAACAGACTTCCTGAGTGGTGACTTTCTGGCTCATCATTAATCACTTCCTTGAGAACAACTGGGAAAATGAATTTCATGTGACTGCAGGCAGGTATCAAGCAAAATCCTCTGTTGAGTCCTGTGAGGATATAAGTAATTTTATGGAATGGAGAAAAAAAGAAGTTTTCTATTTTTTTTTTCTAACCTGAGGTTTCTCATTTTATTTTAAAATCTCAATAGCTTTCAGTTTTATCATTTCAATCAATCATAGGAAATGATTCTGAGGAGTTTATTTGTATAGTTGGTAGAAAGTAAGAGTGCTCTAGTGAGTAAGGGACATAAAGAGGTGCTGCCAGTCCAATGGGGTCACCATCTTTTCTAAGAAATAATGTCTACCCCATGAGTTAGATTTATTAAAGCAGAGGTCTGTGGCACAGGGAAAGGTAATGAGCCATGTGGACCCTTTAGTTCTAAATTGCTTTTACTTAGTTGTGACCCAGCTCCACATGATGAATTTATGGACTACAACCCATAATAAAGAGATATTCACACTACAAAAGAAAAGTCTTTAGAGGGTAACCCCAGACTTGACATGTAATTATTACCACAAGGTGTTTGAAAGCTCTGGCAGAGATTTTGACTTGTAATCAATCTACAATCTTTTCTTGGTAGACTGGACAATTGTCCTACATCTTTTAGGAATAGTGAACTCAGAAATAAGACAGAATATTACCCTTGCTTTAGCATTCAGGATTTCAGAGCTGAGATGGACACGTAGAAGCCCAGCTTCTACCAAGGAGTATAGCTATTAACTGAGGGAGATTGACAGCTTAACCTTGCTGACTGCCATCAGAAACCAAGCTCCTCATACTGAGCTGCTAACAGAAGCAGTATCCAAAGCAGCCAGCACAGTGACTGAGTATAATCAGCCACATGAGTTCTCACTGTGCATAGACCTATCCAGCCCCATCCTTAGAGAAATGTGCAGCCCTGCAGGAATAAGTATGAAGCTGTTGAGTGCAAAGGTGGAGCATCAAAGGCAAAGTATGTATATTTTATCATACTTCATAAGCCACTCTAAAAAGAAATTCTTAATAACTTGAATATAATCCAGCCCAAAACCTACAAATAAGGCATAAAAACTCCTAATTTGAAAATGTTGCCTAACTTTCCAACTGTAGCCGACTTAGAGCATTGATTTATTCACCCTGGACCTGAGCCTGTGCTAGGCATTCATGTAGAATGGTGAGCAAGGCACAAGATGAAGGGGAAATGAGCAAGAGTAGCTCATTATTGATTCTGCTTCCACTTGAGGGTTTCCTTTAAAATAACATCACTGCAGGTGCTGCAGTTTTCTGGAAGCAACTGGTTACCTGAATGAAGAAATGTTATGGTTACACTAGGGATCCAAGTTCAATGGAGACGTATCTGGAACAGGTAGCATATCAGCAACTTGACTGAAGTGCTGCCAGGACCAGGGGAAAGTCTCAGCTGAAGACAGCTACTCTCAGGGAGAATCTTAGTAGACATCTCTGCAGGGGTAGTTCTTGGTGTCTTACCAACTTCTTTTTCTGAAGGAAAATCCTAAGGAAATTCACTACAGCCCTCCGAGCCTGATGGTTGGATGAAAAGGTAGAGAGCAAGTTAGTAGATTGTGATGCTCTTGCAAACCAAATAACAGAGTAACTGCCAGTTCTCATACTTTATTTTCTGTTTAATGGTTGTGAAGAATATTCATGTTGGTGGAATGAAGGAGATAAGAGTGACCATTTGCTGTGTGTGTAACAGGGATATAGATGGTTATCTTGGATGAAGGAAACTAGAGTACAGAAGAGAAGGAAGTATGCATGGCTGTAATTTAATGTTTTTAGATGAGTATTTCCTTAATTAGTTTTCTTTGTGGAAGTGAGTTAACATATAGATCTGCAACAAAAGACAACCAAGAAAAGCCAACAGCAAATGACACTTTTGTGTGGCTGGTCCTCCTCAAAATGCCACACTAAGTATTTTTATGAAATACTAACCTAAACTCACGATGAAAGACAAAACTCCTGCCAAAAATTTAGGCTCCAAGTGGGAAGGAAGGGTTGAGAAAATATATAGAGTGAGATGGTTCCCACAGTTGTATTCTTTGGTTAAAATATTGACTTAAGACAAGTCCTACTGTTTATTTTAGTGTGGTTGGGAAAGATGGAAAATCACAGCCTTTTCCTCTTGAAGAAGCTTTCTGGAAGGTTACTGGTGGTTACTTACCTTTGGGGGAAAGCTTAGAAGGGAGTCTGGGGAAGCATAATGGAAGGACTGTGTGAGCCTTCACTTCATGGAGGGAGTTTAATGTTCTTTTCCTCTAACCCCTTACCTGGATGACTGCTCCAGGAACTGTGTAATCTTCCTTCCCTTCTCTCCAAGAGTCACAGATATAGATATTAGCCCTTTCTATGAGACAAGCCTTGCATTAGGTGGCTCATACACTTTGTAGGTGATTCTGGGATATGAAGTACTCTAAACTATATTCCCTGTTCTTCCACAAGGAAGAGTCATATCTCTTGGTTGACAACCTGCTTGGGCTCATATCTCAAGGATCACACCTTGACATAATCCCCCCTTAAAACCTAACTATGTATGACTCTGCTTTGACCACCATCCCTCAGCAGCAGATGCACATACACTCCATCACCAGTCCTGTCCCAACCCCCAGCAATAGTCACCATAAGCTGCATTGACAGAGGCACTGGCCTTGGAGCCTCCAGGAGTCCTGGGGTAACTCTGAAAGAACTCTGAACATATTTACCTGAGAAATCCTAAACTTTTCCTCAGCTGTGCAGGAATGGAGACTTAATAGACTGAGAACATTAACTTCATTCAGTCCCTTCTGGTCCCTCTCTCCATATTCTGAGTATGCAGGACAGTCAAAGCCCCAGAGGTCATGAGCAGCTCCTGGGAACAAATTGGGTAGAGTAGCTACAAGCATAAAGGAAGGCATTTGCCCTGTTAAAAGGCCAGGATTCTTTAATTGAGAACATATCAGCAGCATTAGCATCGCCCCCACCCCATGTTAGGCAAAATGGTTTGTGACAATAAGTCAGGCTGACTTCTTTTTTTCTCCACACTCAGGTGAGTGTTTTTGGTTCCATTTGCATAAAAAGTAAAGTTAGGATTGCAGGATTAATGTCTTTCAGAGTTTAAGAGCCTTGGAGATTATTTAATTGAATGGTTTCTAAATGTGCTTACCTGTGGAACCCTTGGTCAGGGTAAACTATCATGGAAGCACATTATTGAGAATAGGGAAAAACAGATGTATTCTGATTGAAACAAAAGTGGAGACATTCTGGACCCTCTCCACTTAGACCCCAAGTCAGACCCTCCAGAGCTGCTTTGTCCAATATAGTAGCCACATACCCTATGGGGCCATTTAAATTTAAATTAATTAAAATTAAATAATATTTCAAATTCCATTTCTCAGTCACACTAGCCACATTTCAAGCACTCATTAACCACAAATTGGACTTCATGATTGTGGTATATTTCCATAACTGCAGGAAGAAAGTTCTGTTTGGGAAAAACAAAACAAAACATTGTTCTATAGAATAGCACTGTTGTAAAGATGAGAGATTCCTTAGAGATCTGAAATCTCTAGAATTTTGAGAAAAACAATCAGGAAACCAGTGGTTTCATCTAACACTTGAGCAAGAAGAGAATTCCAAAGAGGTAATATAGTTGGCCAGCCACATGGCAGGTTATTGAAGAACTAGAGCTATATGTTTTTTTAAAAATAATTTTTAGTTGTAGATGGACACAATAATTTTATTATGTTTATGTGGTGCTGAGGATTGAACCCAGGGCCTCACATATGCTAGGTGAGCTCTCTACCACTGAACCACAACCCCAGCCTTAGAGCTGTATCTTATATCCCCTACTCCACTGGACTCCAACTCTGTCCCCAACCTGTAACCCCACACCAACAACTCTATTGTCTAAAGAGAGGGAACCTAGATACCAGGTGTCTCTGATGTTTGGAAAGGGACATTAAATTTTATAAATGTTCAATCAGCTTTAAGCATTTAAATGAAGACATTTAAACTCACATCAGGCACAAGCAGATGTAGTGGGAAATACTGTCAATTAGTGAGCGGCTAATTAATCTTTCTTTGCCACATACACTCTGGCAGGATCTAGAAAGTGCTGTTTTGCTTAGAGCTGTGGGAGTGCTTGCTATGGAAACAATGCATGATTATAATGTTGATTTCTTGACTTTGTGCAGAAGCTGGAGGTGGAGGGCAGCTCTTGCCAGCAGTCACCTTGCAGTTAGAAAGGAAAAAAATTAGAAAATAGAAAGATACTTTAATTAGTCAACCAGGGCATTTTGGATCCTCTGATTTTCATAGAATAAGCATATCTTCCTAGAATATTCCAATTCAGATATTCTTAATCGTATCTTGTTATTTCTCAATCTACAGAAAGGTCCAG